TTACATGCAACTTGCAAGCAATGCTGGACATAATTTAATTAGCATCAATCTCATCACGCCATGTACTTTTTTTATGCGCCAATTCTGTTATTTACAAAGTGAAACAAAATTTCTTCCATATGACTAAGTTCTGTTTCCCATGATGCATCTAAGAAAAGAAAAATAGAGAGTCTGAGGCATTTGCTTTTGTTGGTTGATTGAGCAAAATGGTGCTTGTAATGCTGCTCCATGGGTTGTTATCTCCATCAGAATTGGAAGAGCAAGCAAACGGGTTGTCGCCGATTCCATCATAGAAAATTCCACCGAACTTATCATCACTACCAACCTGTGGCTGGTCCTTTGTTTCTTCTCCGTCGGTACTCTCATCCTCCTAGAAGTTTGAGTTCTTATGAACCAACTCTCTGAATATTGATGATTGAAGGAGGAGGCCAAGTGCGGTGGGAGACGATGACTTGCTACCGGTGTTAAGAGGGATGCTGCTACCGATGACTTCTTGTTTTCGGGGGGGAGTTCAAGTAATCAGAGGCAAAAGGATTTGTGTGTGAGAAAGACTCCTCTGTTGGGATGTAGCTGTTGGCCATGAATGGCATATTCTGAGGCTGTCTCTGGTTCTTGAGTGGCTATTGGATCGTCTGCTCTTGGCTTTAGCCATCTTATGTAAGAACTCAAGTCAAAGTTAGTCACAGCATTGATCCCTCTGTACTCAATTGCTGCAATGTCATAGGCACGAGCTGCTTCCTCTTGGGTGCCTGCCTGAAATGAGATTAAAAAGACACATTGCTCAGTAAGTGCAAATTCTCTTCATTATAGTTTTCAACTTTCTCTTTTATGACAGTTTATATTGCAGCTAGTTTTTGGATAATGTTATAATCAGTTATGGAGATAGGAGATCAGAGATAACTTACCGTAAGTGCCTAGGTAGAGGTACTTGTTTCCAAAAACTCTTCCTATTCTTGCTTCCCATCTACCATTATGATGACCTACAATGGTAGTGTGTAAAGGTGGATGTATGCTAAATCTAAACCTATTGCCACAGGAAAGTTGCTGCGAGGATGTAACGTATAGCCGTGCGGCTACACTATTTTAAAAATAATAATAAAAAACCGAGTATAGCCGATCGGCAATACTATTTATAAAAATTTTAAAAAAAACAGAGGACCAGCATAGCGCTTAGGCACCCACGTGTCAAACAGTATGGCCGCACGGCTATACTATTTTTTTAAAAAAAAATTGAAAAATAGAGAGCCTCGTAAAGCCGAGCGGCTATACACTTATATATATTTTAGATGGTATAAGATGGTATAAAGATGTGGTATACAAATATGGTAAGAGTAGCATTATTCTATATATTAAAAAAAAACACTTTCGAATGCATGCGTTCGGCCCAGTCCAGTTTGGCCTAAGGCAAGATAAGATTTTAGTTTTGCCCAAGGGCTGGGCAAGAGTGGACCCCATAGTCAGTTTTTGGAAGAAGAAAAAAAATGTGGGGCATCAACAGCTGCTTTTCCAAATGCTTTGGCCTATGAGGATCGGCCATGTGGCGCCTTCAATAACAATTGCCCAACGGCTTGCCTGGATGGTCCCTGATAAATAAAAAAACAGTGATTTGAGCATAACCCATCACCACAAAAGCATCAAACTTCAAGCTCAATCCCAAAAACTTAAAATGGTTGAAGTGCAAAAATTGAATCCCCATGTTACCTTCATTTAAAGAACAAGAGAGAGCAAGACACGGGGGGTACGAATTTACATTTTATATGTCTGAAACGGTTATTTATTTTTAAAAAAAATTTAAAAATAGAGAGCCCCATAAAGCCGACCGGCTATACACTTAAAACACATTATATTTTAGAGGGTACAGCCGGGCGGCTATATTATTTAATAATAAAAAAAATCAGGTATAGCCGCACGGGTATACTATTTACTAAAAAAAATCAGAGAAGACACATAGAGCCTAGGTTGGGTCTTCAATTAACAGAAAGAAAATTTGTTTCGCCTTCCAAGTTCCAACCAATAAATTAGAATAATATGTATCCAGAGATTTTATAGGTATAATGAGAAATTTTTGGATTGTTTTCAAAATGTGGTGGGTGTGCTAATCAAAACCTTAGGTGCATTTACAAATCCTTAACTCATACATATATGTGTAAGTGATTCTCTTCTACATGATGAACTTACAATGTTAAACCAATGTTGAAAGATGTTTTAAGTTCGAATGCCTCATTTCTCGTCAGTAAAACAAAAAACAAAACTATTGGATTGGTGAGAGAAACGATGGAATTTCTCACTCACAAATATTAGTATAGGAGTTCATTTCCTAAGATGATGAGAATGCCCCTCTTTAATATAATTGTTGGATATAAACAAGTTGAAATAAGTAGCTAGAAATGTGACCTATTCTTATATTAACCTCTAAATTGATACAAGGATGTAATTGGTATTTATGTCCAGATATTTAAAGATTGATTCATCATTGAAACAAACATTTTTATACCAAATTTAAAATACACTAGATGCCAAAAAATTTGCCAAATTAAGGACCAGCACTGCACAACATGTAGACCACAAAATTTGCCATCAGAAAACTCTCCTATTTCAATTTTCAGCTACTATATATATGTAAGGCCGCACTTGGCCAGACCGTACAACGTGCCTCATCAAGAACAATGCTTTCTCCAAAAAAAATAAACACCCTATCCTACTCTTTTGAAGGTGAAAAGAATGTCTCAGAAAGTGTTTGATTACAGGCTACTTTTAGGCGCACCCCAAAATATCCTATCTTCTCCACCATCCCATTTGCTATCATATTCTTCATCGTCTATGCAGACTACATTGTCTTTAACCTTCCCATGCATCCTGTTGCCCTGAGAATCCATGAACTTTTTCAAGATCACAACACTCGATTACCTCGACAGAAAACTGAATTAACCTTGACTGTTGAGAGCATGCCACAGCTTTCCATGCAGGAAATGATAGATGAATTTATGCCACAGCTTTCCATGCAGGAAAAGATAGATGAAGTTGCAGAGGAAGTTCCTGATCCTCTGGTTCCTCCAGAAAATGTCAGAAAAGGGGAAGCTCTCGGAACTGCAAGATCCTCTAGTTCCTCCAGAAAATGTCACAAAAGGGGAAGCTCCCGGAACTGCAGATACTCAACTCAAACAATTTAACAGAGTAGTTTCATGGTCGAGTACTTGAGTTCCTCAACCATGGATGCAGTGCTCAGTTCTACATGATATATATGGTTTTCACTAGCAACCATGTTTGGCAAAAGAGAATTCATGGCCATGGACAGTCTCTTTAAATTCAATCCTAAAGGGTGCTTGATGATCCTATCAAAAAGCATGGATTCAGGAAGTGGATACAGAATCCTGAAGCCGCTTCTCGATCGAGGATTCAAAGTAAAAGCATTAACACCAGACCTTCCATTTCTAGTCAAGAACACCCCAGGTGAAACTTGGCTTCAAGAATTATGACTAGTCTCAGACAACTATGTCATTTGCCCTGATATGTATACTTCTTAAGGAAATTTTTGTACCATAAGATGTTGAAGGTGAAGCCTATATGCTTAGGCATTTGACTCACCTAGTCACATCACATGTAGCAGAACCCGCTATCTCTCTAGTAGATGTTCATAGTTCCATT